TAAGAACCATAGCCAAAATACTGAGGAAACCCAGAAATTTAGAATTCTAAGCAAATTCCCACTGAAATCTGGGCTTGCTGCTATCTGGGGCACAGTTGGAAGAAAGCTCAGACATCAGGTTGGCTAGCTCTACCTAAACCCACAGTGACCAGTTGTTCCAGCATTATGTACAGCTCGGCATTCCAGTGTTCAAGGGCAATTCTGACTTAGCCATTCTGTGGGAAGGATAGAAATACCCCAGTTAGAGAGGATCTGTTAGAGACATGACATTTTGACTAAAGATCTTGTCCTCTACATCAATTCCACACACAACTTGACCTAGAATTTATATGTGAGGCTATCTGATTAGTTGGTGCATACATGCCTACAGTTGTGTTAGTCATGAGGATTCTTTACCACTTTGGGCCATAGACCCACTGATGGCCATGCTGACCAGACCTTCCTGTTACATGAATGTAGAGATGCCATATAGTAGATATTTGGTAGTGGAATGCTAGGTAGGCTGCAAGTGATAGAGTGCAGGATTAGTATGTGTGAAGACTGAGATTCAATGTCCAGCATCCTCTCCCCCAGTAATAAAGATTAACAAGTGACTGCATCTGCTCTGGTGTCACCCTGTGTTCTGCATGGCTCTGGAGAGCAGAGGTGGAAGACCCTGCTATTGTGGCTACAAGCATAGCTTCAAAGAGTGTGTGAGAAGCTTAATCCTGCCCTGCTAAATGCACAGTCATGAAGGTCAAGGCTGCTGGAAATGTGGCACAGAAGCGAATCACTGGCCTAGCACACACAAGACCCTAGGTTTGATTCCCAGCACTGTTTCAAACCCATTCTGGTAATCCAACCTGATCTATCCTCTCCACTCTTTGACCCAGGCGACTATCCTCCATCACCTACAGAACTTCAAAAACCCCTGGACAAGGTGTGCTGTCTTCCACCTTCTCCCTGCATCTATTCCTTGAAACCAAAGTGATTCTGTCAAAATATAGACTAGATGAAGGTCAAGGCTATAAGTCTGACTTGAGTTTAGCCACAAAGCAAAGGGTGAGGAAGGTGTGTTCAGTCTTGCTAATGTGGGGCCACTGCCCTACACTATTGTGGTAGGCTGACATTTACAGGCACACTGAGGCCAGCACTTCCAGCCTCTCCCTACCTAGCTTTCCCTTCATTGTTCATGATGCCTGAGCCAATTTGGCTGATATATTAGTATGTATCTACTCCACTTCCAAAACTCATGAACTAACTCCCTAGGTTTCCTTGAAGCTTGCAGTGGGTCACAACACTAGACTTCAGTGTTGGGGTGCATCTCTGAGGGGTTAAGCAGGTGGTGAGCACACATTGGTAAAAGGCAGTATGCCCCTCCTACTAGGAAAATGTAATTTCATAAAGCTTTTTGCCAATTGTGGTGACAGTCTAGTAATCCCAGCATTTAGGAGGCACAGGCAGAGGCAGGAGGATCTTGATTTTGGGACCAGGCCGGGCTAGAGACCCTGTCTCAAATAATAAACCTTTAAAATTCTGAAGAATGCGAATTGTTCAATATGTATGTGCAGTGTTGGTATATTCATCAGACAGTAAGTAAAGCCCAGAGCTAGAATTAACTTCAGAACTTTGAAGGTACTATCAACTTTTCAATTGGTCTTGAGATTTGGAAAATAGTTTCATCGAACTCAATTATTACCATTAGGCTGTACTTAAACAAAAAAGCGGCCAGGCCTGGTGTGGCATGTCTCTAATCCCAGCATTTGGAAAGCTGATGCAGGTGGATGAGATGTTCAAGGCCTCCATCTCTCACAGTATAACAGCAAAAGCAGTAGTGTTAACATTAGTAGAATGAGATCAGTACTTTAGGAAACTGAACTTCTGAAATGCCCACCTAAAGTTTGTACCACATGAATAGTGTAAGCACTTTACATTGTGATGTTTGCTTAGGAAACCATAAAGATTATTAACAATTCATAGACTAGTATAATACATAAAAGGTGAATCATGAGACTGGAAAGAAATAATGAAACCTTTTTTTTTTTTTTTTGGCTTGTTTTTTCTAGGTCCTAGGGACCAAACTCAGAGCCTATGCACATAGGCAAGTGCTGTGTCACTCAGCTCCATCTCCAGCCCCAAACTTGCTTGTGTCTTATTCACAGATAGCATCAAATTCAGAATTGCTCTTTTGGCTGAAAACGAGTTCTAGCTGTTTGCATTTCTTTGTTGAAAGTAGATTCCTTTAGGCTTGTGTTGTAAAGTCTGTTCAGTTACCCAGCCAGTAGACTGAAACTTTTTGTAGAACTAAGTTTTTTCATCAGTGTGATCTTTATAGTTTCAGGGAATAAACACAATTTACCATGTTCCTTTTAAAAGGGGGCTGGAGAGGCAGCTCAGCGGTTAAGAGCACGTACACTGTTGTAGAGGACCTGAGTTTGGTTTCTAGCACCATGTCAGGCAGCTCACAATCGCCTGTAACTCCAGTTCCAGGAGATCAATCTGACACCCTCTTCTGGCCTCAGAAAGCACCTGAACTCATGAACACAATCCCACACAGAGACACATATACACATATAATTTAAATAAATAAATAATTAAGAAAAACCTTAAAAAATTAAATGAGCTAATATAATATTTATTCCTTATTAGCCAGTACATAAAACAGTTCAGCTTAAAAACTTTTCCTCTACAGAGTATTATTTAATATTAGCATCTGATTCACAGCAATGTAATACTAATTTTAATGAGAATATAAAATGGAACTCTTACTTTCATAATGGCTCATCCACTTAACATTTTAACATATAAGAACTGCTATACATATGTAACATTGTGCAGACCTTTTTCTGGACCTAATCATCTAACAGAAGGAATACACTATTTAGAAATGTATTCAGACCCCTTCTTTTCCACTTTTCTACCTGACACTCATATTTCTTCCATTTTCTGTGGCTCTGCCTTAACTCCTGTCCTGGCTTCTGTTGTCATCACCCACACCCACACCCACACCCACACCCACACCCACACCCACACACATACCCCCCCACACACAGACAGACAGACATCCAGGGTGAGTTGTGGGAGGGCAGAGAACCTGTCCCATCATTAGGGTATTTGGCAGCTGACACGTGTAGCATCTAATTTAATCAGGGTACTCTATTTAGATTGCTTCTAATAAATTTTTGAAATTAAAGATCATTACAAAAAAATCTTTGCAAATATGTGCCATAAAATAGTATGGATTGAATTTTTGAATTCCATACTTTGTTATGCAATAAAACAGGAATTTGATCCTAAAGAACTCTAAAACTTAAATGAGGATATTAAAAAATGCAAAAATGGGAGGCAGAAAAGTCCAATCTTGGTATATTTAGTATGAAACTAGAAAGTAGACTGTACATATTTCAGTAAAGTCACCACCAAAAGGATCTTTTCAAACAATAGGATGCTAAAACCTTACAATTATTTTTAAAATTGTAATGTAACCCCCTAAAAAATTTCTTAACTATAAAAAATAAGGCAACTTGAAGTTAGAGATGCCTAACTTGAAGTTAGGCAACTAGAATTTACAGATGGAATGAACTGTGGGCTGCACGCAGGGGCAGGGTTTGCCTGGTGCCTCCTCACAAGCCACATTGCTAACAGCCTCTAGCAAGAAGCCCTGTTCGATAGACTGGTGAAATGGCATCATCTCTTGGAAATAAACCATCGTTTCTAAGACTCCACTAAATAGTAGACCAATTAAGATCATCGCAGTCTTCATGCTGTCAAATCCATTACCTCGGAGGAAAATTATGCAGACAGCTTCTCTGAAGAACTCCATTTGTGCCACACACTTATTATTCCTGGAGGTGGAGGAGGTGGAAGGAGGTGGAAGGGAACAGGATTTCTGTTTGAAAGCTCTTTTGTTTTCTGCTACCTTTACTTAAATGTTACCGGGGACTATTTTTATATCCTATAAAATGCTTTAAAAAAAGGTAAGTGAATAGTGATACAAAAAAACCAAGGCGAATGCTCCCATTATCTGTGTCGTAAGAAGCAGAGTGAATAATACTTGACTCTTAAAAAGGGGAAGATAATGTGCTGAAAAAAAAATGAAGAAGTGTCTGAGATACACCCCCAGTTTTATAAAATTCCAAGTTCAAAGAGAAACGCAATCCTAACTAATAAATGTTCACTAAAGGCAGATTTCAATTAAAATGAATATGAGATTCTTAAATTGATGCCTCTTAATAGGCCATTTTAGTGTTAAAGGGGTGTAAATTGAGTCAGAAGCTATATGTTTTGCACAGAAGGTCAAGTTTCTTGAAAGGAATCCTATTATACTTAAATATATTTTATTTTATTTTATTGTTTATGAGTGTATTGCCTGCATGTATGTAAGTGCACCTGTGTCGTGCATTGCCCACGATGGTTAGAAGAGGATGTCAGATTCCCCTGGAACTGGAGTTACAGATAGTTGTTAGCTTCCATGTGGGTACTGGGAATCGAACCTGGGTCCTCCGCAAGAGCAGCCAGTGCTCTTAACCACTGGCCATCTCTCCAACCCCAATACTATAATATTTTATGGCAGACTTTCAAACCATCTTTCAGATTCCTGCTTATTTCTACGACAATAAAAGTTTGGATCACCCTAAAATTCACTATAATTTGGTCATGAGCAGATATATTGGGTTAAGTTAAACTACCTTCTGCATTCTGTTTTCTAGTGGAAATTCTATTTATTTAAGTCACCAGAAAAGCCTAAGGAGAAACTATTTAAGAATGAATCTGAGTAGAGAATATATCTTGTCATAAAAACAATGAATCATAATGCATCTTAACCAAAAATGTATTTATTAAATAGCAGTGAAGGAAAAAATTAAAAGCCACAAAAACTCAAAACTTAGGGCTAGTTAAAATGATACTTTTTTCCCCTGTGTTTTTGTTTGCTTGCTTGTTTTGTTTTGTTTCTTGATACAGGGTCTCCCTGTAGCCCCAGTTGGTCTGAAACTTGCTATATAGACCAGGCTGGGCTCCCTCTCACAGAAATCCACCTGCTTCTGCTTCCTGAGTGCTGGGATTAAAGGCATGTGTCATCACACCTGGAAAAATGTTACTTTCTTAACCAAAAAATTCACATTTTTTGCACCTATTTTTCAAAATCACCAAATCCAAATGTTATCAATAATCGCTGTGTTATATACTTTTTGCTCATTCCTAAGAGATTATTAGAAGCTTTTATGTAAGTATACTGGCTCAGAGCCAGTAAATGAATACAAGAGTGTTTAAAATACTGCAAAATGCACCAACTTTAATCAGGTTTTTAAAACTGTCCTTTTTAAAATATATTTGCTGGTAGCTATCCAAGTCTGTTAGCACCATATATAGTGAATTAAGTGTTCTTTCAAAGATGATTTAGCAGTGAATTTTGGATTTATGTCTAAAAGGTACACGACTGATTAATTAAGGAGGGTAATATGTTTTTATCTTACTAAATTGAAGGATTCCTCATCACCCATTGGAAGAATGAAGATGGGAAAGCCAGGAGAAAATATTGCCACACCTCAGCCAAGAATCTTGCTAATAACATCTATCATTCGGTGACATTCCAAAGCCAGGTCAGTTTTTTCTCTCAGAAATCACTATGTATTTACAAGAGGGGTGTGGGGGGAGAAGGGACCAACAAAGTTAAAGTATAGGAAAAAGTCACACATACATATGCAGTCCCTAAACACAGTGAGAATGCACCTCAGCAATTAAAATCATCTAGTGCTCCTTCCTCAAGAGGACGCTCTTCAGCAGACACCTTGCTGTTTGTGCATCATATGTTTCAAGAGGTAACACCATCACTTAATTTAGACAATAGGGGGTAGGGACTGTACAACAGGAACCCTAACCTGTGGAGTAGGGAAGTATGCTACATGATCATGGCCAGGCACAATGGACAAACACTGATGTTGAAATATGTGCTTTAACATGAACTTTTTACTTTTTATTCAGTTGTGTACATAGCTCATGTTTGGCCAAGCATAAATACTACTTTCACTAGAATATTGTGATTTCTTGGACCTTTAGAAGTAATTCTGCTCCAGAAAACATTTGTCATCTGGGAAGTTTGCTTGTTGGATGAAAGTAATATACCCCTTATTCTGTCTTGCGGTTTTTGTTTTGTTGTTGTTGTTTCTAATTTCTCAAGCAGATAAGCCCATGCAGAAGTGGATATGTACAGGTCTGCTGGGCAGAAGGAAGATGGGGAAGGAAAATGCACTGATTCCACACTTGTACACTTGGTAACCATCTGCCCATTTGAAGGAACTTGTGAATGGCTTTTGTAAGGGAATTAGGCAAGATTAGAAAACCACTCACCTGATTCACCATTAGAACCAGCATAAAAAATGCACTGTAAAAGAAAAGGTTTTGAAAAACTGAATGCAATGTTAATTTTTACACAGGGTTGAACTATCAAAAAGAAAGCAGCCTTTGTGACATTAGAGAACAGTAAACAGCACATCATACCAAAAGTTTTCAATGAATAGCTTCTTTCTCCAAAGCACTCCACCCTTCACCTGCCATTTTAGCATCTCTGTATGTCACTTTGCACTGTGATCTGTGCTGACTTCCTCCAGTCCAGAAGCAACTGTGTTTCAGTGGCAGACTTAGAAACCTCATTTATTCTTTAGCATTTCTGGGCTGGAATTTTACCTTTAAATTCCACAGATGATAGACCTTGAACTTATTACTGAATAAGAAGTGCCACAAATGTATAAAATAATTCATCTTTGAGGGATTTTTTTTCCTCCCATGATCTGGAAATGCAGTCATTGCAGAAGAGTATTTACTTGATTATCCTCGGAAACCGATTCATTAACCAGCTGTTCTATAGACAACTGGATAGCATTCTTGACGAGAGAAGAAGCTGTTTCTATTAAGAGTGCCTCATATTGTTCTGAAGTTCTCCCCTCGAAATCACTATCATTAGCAAAAACCCCTACTTGCTCATTTTCCATTGAAATTAGGAATTGCTTAGGGACATTTTTAGATTTTGAAACATCAAATTCACTGATTTCAGTGTCTGTGATGATAATAGCAATTGGCTCCATTCTTTTGCTTTCTTCGGATCTGGGTTTCTCTGCATCAACTCCATTTTCTTTCAAAGCTGGTGCCTGGCCTAGTGCGATTTCTTCTGCCTGGGCCAGTTCAATTTCTTCTACCTGGCTTTGTGAAATTTCCTCTGCCTGGGCCAGTGCAGTTTCTCCTGGTTCATTCTCTTCAGTGGCACCCTCTCTACTTTCATCATCTTTCCCATCTGGTGCACTTTCTCTGACATCGTCATTGGATTCCTCCACGCTTTGTTGATCTGGGATTGCAGATGTGGGAGGAGCCACAGCAGGAGAAGGACGAGTCACTGTGGGTGAGGGAGGAGTCACTTTGGGTGAAGGAGGAACCACTGCAGGTGAGGGAGGAGTCACTGAGGGTGAGGGAGGAACCACTGTGGGTGAGGGCGGGGTCACTGCAGGTGAGGGCGGGACCACTGCGGGTGAAGGCGGGGTCACTGCGGGTGAGGGAGGAACCACTGCAGGTGAGGGAGGAGTTACTGTGGGTGAGGGAGGAGTCACTGTGCGTGCAGGAGGAACCACTGTGGGCGAGGGAGGAGTCACTGCGGGTGAGGGCGGGGTCACTGAGGGTGAGGGAGGAACCACTGCAGGTGAGGGAGGAGTTACTGTGGGTGAGGGAGGAGTCACTGTACGTGCAGGAGGAACCACTGCGGGCGAGGGAGGAGTCACTGTGGGTGAGGGCGGGGTCACTGAGGGTGAGGGAGGAACCACTGCAGGTGAGGGAGGAGTTACTGTGGGTGAGGGAGGAACCACTGTGGGCGAGGGAGGAGTCACTGTGGGTGAGGGAGGAACCACTGTGGGCGAGGGAGGAGTCACTGAGGGTGAGGGAGGAGCCACTGTGGGGGATGGAGGAATCACTGCAGGCGAGGGGGGAGTCACTGTGGGTGAGGGAGGAGTCACTGAGGGTGCGGGAGGAACCACTGCGGGTGAGAGAGGAATCACTGCAGGTGAAGGAGGAGTCACTGTGGGTGAGGAAGGAACATGAGAAGCCACTGGGCGCTGGTTCTCTGCTTCTGAACCTTCAAGCCAACTAGTTTGCACCGCTGGAACATTTTGTTTTTCCTGGATCACTTCAGCATCCTTTTCAAGCATGGGAGTTCCTGTCTGAATAGCAGAATGCTCATTTTCTAATTCAAGCTCAACGGAAATCACATTCTCTCCAGATGTGATATTGTTGTTTACATGTGATTTACAGACCTCCTTACCATCTTCCACTGACACACCTTTCTGTAGGTCCTGGGTGGACTTAGCTGGTATTGCCTGGTCAGCCAACTGGGTCTGAGTTTGTATCTCCAAACCTTCAGTTTCTCCCTGGACTCTGATGTTGTAGTCTGAGTCTTCTGAAAGCTTGTAGTGATGACTCTTCTGTGCCCCTCTTGAGAATCTTAGGCAGGGAATCTTACTCCTGGATTTTGCCTTTTTCTTAGAAAGAGCCGCATCATCAGGCTTTATTTCAGTGTGCACTTCAGCCTCAAATGTTTTACGCTTCTTTGAAGAATCTGACCTTTTCCTGTGTGTCATGAGACATTTGATGGAGGCCCAGGCCCCTGCTGGCTGCTGTGGCTGATCGGAAGCCCCCGCTTCTGGGGGACACTTCCTGGCCACCTCAGCAGCCTCAGAGCCAGTTTTGGGCTTGGGCACCTTGGCTGCTTTCTTCCTTCTTTTGAAGCAAAGTGTAGCTGTTTTTCTTTCCCGCCTCTCTTCCAGAGGACTAACTTCTGCTGCCCCCTTCTCCTCCTTATTTTCTATTTGAATTTCAGAAACTGTGGTCTCCATTTTTATACTACCCCCTTTTATCCTCTACAAACTGTCCTCTCTCTTCAGAGGCCTTTTATGAAAAAAGGTGGGCAAAACATCACACTAAGTTGGGTTTCTTCCAGGCGCCTTCAGGCACTTGTTTCTGGAGCTTCTTCTGGACACAAATGCCTCCTTTCTCCGTTGCTTGTAATTTTTCTCTTTAATTTTCTCAGGAAAGCTCTTTACTGGATAAGATTTTCCTTTATTCACAGATCAACCTGATGAGAGAAAAGAGTGGGGTTTTATGTCAGCAGCTGAAGGTATACAATTCTATTACGCATGCTTTTCACATGATAACTTACTGACATGACTGAAGGCTACACACTGGGGTTTGCTTTTGCCCTGTCAAAAAGACTCCAGTATGAACTCATTGCGTTCTATTATTTTTGTTAGAACATCATTATGGATCACTCTGATCCATATGCGATTAGTTGTCCTGTCTATGAGTTCAGCAACAACAAAAAGCAATGAAGGGCAGGATGACAGATAAACTAGTGCACTTTTTATTACATACAATAGAGAATTTTGAAGCTGCTAAGGATTTGAGAGATTATTTGAGATTATTCAAATCTAATCAGTTCACCAAACCGAACTCCAGAGGGGGCAGCTGGTTTGTGGAAAGCCAGAGTTGGAAGTAGGAATTTTGACTCTGGTGTTTTTTCCATTGTGCCATAAGGTTTCTGTTCTAAGAATGTACATTCCATTGAGGAGGTGCTGCTTGCTTGCAAACACACTCTTAGGAAACTTAACATTGCTGTCATTTTCCACTCGTCAATTCGTTGTGTAACTTTCACATTTTTCACTTAAGTATCTGCTACTTATACGATTCGCTCTAATGTGCACACAGCTGGAGGTAAGTTAACGATGCTAATAGCTGACATTTGTTGAGCAATACTTGTGTATGCGGCAGTGCTGAACACTTTTACATACATCTCTAACCTGCACCACGGTATTCAGTATTCCTGAGTGAGTAGGTGGTAATATCTCCATCTGCAGATGGAGTCTGCCTGAGATTACAAAGCTAGTCAGTAACAGGGCTCAGATTCAACCCAAAACTGCCTGTTTCTGAAACCCTTGCTCTGAGTTTCATCAGAAAATGAATTGTTTGAAAAATGCCAATCTGAGCTGGTTGTGATGGTGCACACTTGTCATTCCAGTATAGGGAAGGTGGAGGCAGGAGAAAAAGTTCAAGGTCATCCACAGCTACGTAGTGAATTTGAGGCCAGCTCAGCAATATGAGACTGTGTCTCAAATAAAAAAAAGGGGGGAGGGCGGGAAGATGTGCGTAAAACCAAGATTTTGGGTGATAGAGCGCTGGCTTAGCATGCTCCAAGGCCCTGGGCTTGATCCTCAGCCCTACCAAAACATAATAATTCCTAAAGAATAAGGACAAGAGGTGATTGCCTAACAAAACTCCCATGAATTTTAGTTTGATAGATGCCCTGAATTAGGCAAAGGGACTCTTTCCTTATACGATTTTCAGGTAAATTCTTCCCAGAGCTTTCATCTGGGTAGTCCTTAATTCTCTGAACTGTGGAACCAGAACCCTAAAATATCATTTTATGATCTAAGGAAGTATTTTTTAGGGTAGGTATTGTGTACTTCATCTTTCTAAACATAAACATCAAATTCTAAAGCAACGATGGAACCAAAGTAACATCTACAGTGTGTCTCCCCACACACCTTCAATCAGCCCTAGAACTGCAGCTAATCCTAACTGCCTCAAGGCTCCCTCCCCTGCGTTCTCCGTGCCTGAGCATTTTTATTTTAAGCAGAGGATGTAAGCACTGGTAGAAATAATAGAATTAGATCATATTCTGCAAAGTATCATTCGAAACTAACATGAATTCCCTAGCTATCTGCATGAGAAGCTTCTTTGAGATCAACTGTAGAGATCAACACCCCAACAAGTGTATCTGCGATGGAGGAAAGGATGCAGCCTGCAGGCGTTAAAACTTTGCAAGAGTGTTAGGACCGCAAATGTATTCGCCTTTCCCTTCGTTGGGGAGCTTTATTGCCTCAGGAAACCTTGAAGTCCCTGTAGACGTTTCTTGACAGAATCTCTGGTCTAACGCCACAGAAAACACTACCACCTTTCCCCCCCTTGAGCAGCAAAGAGCATCCACTACCAGAGCAGAGCAATCTTCCCCAGCACCAGCCATGGACCGCGAAGCTTCCTCCTGGAGGAAAGACTCTCCAGGCTTGACGCCCCGGTGGCAGGAGACCTAGCTCAGGATAAAGTGCTCAGAAAGGAAAATGCCGGGGGCGTGGAAGGATAGCTCAGCTCCAAGCTGTCTACGGAATTACCATAGCCAGGAGCGGAAAATCACGGTTCCCCCCAAAGGGCCAGGAAGGGCTAGGCGGCCGGTGCTTCTGGAACCAGCTGCACCGCGTGCGAAGCGAGCTGATGGCAGAGCCGCCGACGGGCGCCCGCCGGCCGGGAGATGCCTGCGGACAGCAACCTTGCAGTCAGCGCTCCCCGCCATCTGGGGACAGGAATCCGGGGTCTTGCTTCTGCACCGCCCGCCCAGAGGCTCGGTGCACCCGGCTCTGACCCAGAGCCTCCCGTCCTGCCTCCACTTACCCCAAGCGCGGGAGTCCCTGGCCGGCCCAGCACCAGAGGTCGCATCGCACGGCGGGGGCTGCCGGGAGCCTTGAGGCCGCCGAGCGCGCAGCCCTCTGCAGAGGGACAGCAGCCGCGGGCCCCCTCCCCAACACAGAGAGCGACAGCGGGCCGGGCCAATGTGCGCCGAGCAGGGGGCGGGGCGGGGGCGGGGGCGGGGCCAGCTGGTGAGGGCGCAGCTCCGCAGCCACCTGCGAGCAGCTCGCCCCACCCGGTGGGAGCACCTTCGTGCTCCCGCCCTGGAGCACATCCCCGCTGCAGGATGACATCAGGGCCGGGGCAGAGAGAGCACTAAGGCAGAGCAGGGAGGACGGCGAGGGGACGAGGGTAGAGGGACCAGCATTTTCTAAGACGCACGGCAGTAAAAAAAAATGTTTGAAATTACAGACACTACCATCGTAAGTACCCCTCGAACACGAAAAGGACAAGGTATACCTTACAATTTTAAAAAATTAATTAAAAAAACTAATTTCATACACGAATACTGCATTTACATCATTTCCAGCTGTCCCTCTCCCCACTACAGCTCCTACCATGTCCTCTCTCAAATACATGACTCCTACTTCATTGTTACAGACACACACACACACACACACACACACACACACACCCTAATAAATGAGTCCATTTAGTGTTGCTCCAATGTACATGTGTTCAGGGCTACCCATACATGGGTAGAGTCTTGTAAAATCTCCCCCATTCATGTTGGTGATGTTAGCACATTTTAAAAACATAATTCGTAACTGTGCATTGAGTCATAAGGAGTTGTTTGGATGGGAAATTATGTATATGGTTAGAAACAGAAATGAAACTCCCCAAAGTGGGCTTTGGTGTGAGGTTATCATGGTTCCTTGTCAAACAGGACCCCAGACCTATGTAGAGACAGAGATCTGCAGGAGCACTACAGCTGTGCTGATCAGTGAGAATGCCCATCTAGCCTTTTACCTCACATCCTGAAGCCAGGTAGATTACTGTTGCCCGTTTCCTTTCAGAACATGCCTTGGTGTCTGCTCACCTTGTTCGAATGGGAATAGAATGGGGAGATGAGGACACTCACCATTCCAGTCCCACTCCCAGCAAAGGGCATGGGAACCTTGTATACTTCTGAAGGGTGAGGGTTGTTCCCGCCCCGTTATCAAAGGAAGGTGCTAGCTATGGTGAAAAACAGTACAAGTATGTCTGTGTGCACATAAGGCACACTTGATGAAAGGTGTGTCTAGGGCAACTCAGGGCCATGGGCTTGTAGCATTCCTGGGTGCTCTGGCTGGGGTCCTGAACATCACACCTCAGCCTTCTCCACAGCCCCTCCTAGCACAGGCATCAGAAACCCCAAGAAAGAAGAGAACTGAAAACCACCTGCATGATCTTCCCAAAGGTCAATCTAAGATGCCCACTCTGAGATGTTGTTTTTTTTTCTAGGAAAATATTTTACCTTTCTGGTCTAGACTTATTCCACCAAGACTTGTTACGGAATGAATTCTTGGGACACAAAACCAAAGTTGAATCTAAGTTAAGTTTGTAGATTAAGTTAGCACCAAGAGAGCTGGAGTGATGGTTCAGCAGTTAAGAGCACACACTGCTCCTGCAAAGGGCCCAAGTTTGGTTCCTAACTCCTACTTTAGGCAGCTCACAACTGCCTATAACTTCAGCTCCAGGGAATCCCACACCTGCACTTACATGCACAGACACATAGATACAGAAATGTAATTAAAAATAATAAAAAAACAACAAAAAGAAATTATATTTAGCCTTGCTCATCCAGCAAACAGGTCTGTGAAAAGGGTCTTTATATCTCCATTTTTGTTACTTGCTAATCCTGCTTCTGGCAGTTTTGAACTTGAAACAAGCTGGAAGAAATCTATGCCAGGCATGCAGCTGAGGTGCTGTGACTCACACTCAAATGGAAAGGTTCTTCAAATCCAGCAGATCTGGGAGTACGCAGCAGTTTTAGGAAACGAAACAAAAAACTTTTCCAGACAAGGACAAAGTGAACAGCCGTCTTACTAGAAACCACTGGGAGCCAGGTGTGGTAGCACATGCCTGTAATCCCAGCACTGGAGAAGCTGAAGCAAGAAAATGGCAAGTTCCCAGCCTGGGCTACATAGCAAGACCCAGTCTTTTGTTGTTATTTTGTGTTTTAAGATTTACTTTTAATTGTATGTGTGTGCCTGTGTGTGGGTATGTGTACATGAGTGCAGGTGCCTGAGGAGGCCAGAGGCATCAGATCCCTTGGACCTGGAGTTATAGGAAGTTGTGAGCTGCCAAATGTGGGAGCTGGGAACCTAACTTGGGTCCTTCGCAAGAGCAGTATGCACTTTAAAAAAAAATTATTTTTCTTTTATGCATATGAGTGTATTACCTCCATGTATGTAAGTGCACCCATGTTGTGTAATGCCCAAGGAGATAAGAGGTGTCGGATCCGCTGGAACTGGAGTTATGGATGGTTGTTAGCCGCTATGTGGGTGCTGGGAACCAAACCTGGGTCCTCTGTAAAAGCAGCCAGTGCTCTTAATCACTGAGCCATCTCTCTAGCTCCAAGAGCAGTATGCACTCTTGACCACTGAGTCATTTTCCAGTCCAAGACCCAATCCTAAAATACAGGTCAAAACAATACAGCAACTATGGCCATCTTACTAACTTGTAGCACCTGTTCCACCTGCTTTTCTCTTAAAAAACAAAGTAGTGAAAGGAAGCTGAACAGAGTCTAAGGTGAGAGGTTGATTTATATTTGAAGAGAAAAATAAAATTCTTTTGAGGTATGATTTTCTCCTCCCCAGTCCCCTCACACATATAGTCATTCAGAGTATACTACTATAAATAAAATATTGCACTGTGGTTTTCCTTTAGGATATGACTGGAGCTTGATGCCAGATGTTCTGACAATGTACCCTGTACCTCATGCATGAAAGAAAAAGAAACCTGTCATTCCTAAACACACTTGATGACACTTAGAGCTGTTGAAGCTAACCCAAATTGTCTACTACTCCGTATGAATTATATAATTAGGAAATAGGCTATAAATACATCTCTTGAAACTGATGAGAAATTATCCTCCTTATAACTTACCATGTTAATAACACAAAGTGGGCCAAAAAAATAACCTACATATTTATCTGAAAAGCACTCAATTGATTATACCTTTCTTCCCCATTCTGGTCCCTATCCACCCACAGTCCAGACTTGTGGTTATCAAAATGGTCTCAAGTCCTTGTCAATAATTCTTACATTTCAGAGCCCTTCTCAGAATAAACCTTCCACAGTGCCTTTCTCTGGCACGCCATCAAATGAACCTGTGGCTCCAGTTCCCTGGTGGCTCAATCTGTTTGTGGGCACCATGAGAGCTGCAGGACGCCAACACAAACCCAAGTCACTGTGTTGCAATCTGCCTTACTTGGCAGCATGTACGCGATGCTGTCACTCTTGAATTATGTGTACATACATCGTCAACAGACAGCAACAACCTCTGAGGTGCAATTCAAGAAGATGCAATGCGCTTATCAGTGATCTAATACAGGGAGGGGAGATTAGGAATGGGAACCAATAATCTGGAGGGACTGCTAGCCCTGTGGCTGGGGCCTGCTCAGGTGACACAGGCACCCCAGCCCCAACTGATCTTTCCTACACATGGCCTGTCACTACTTTATGCCTTATTTCCTTATAGAAATGGCATTTGTAAGTTTGTACTTATGACACCTTTTAGCAAAGATCCAAGAATCAGTGTACAAAACCTCTGCCCATCAGGATTGCTCAGCAGCCTCCCTGACCTCATTTCTTCCACTTTGCACACCTTAATTATCTCTTCCTTTCAGAGGTGAGTGAAATGGACCCAGTTTTCTACTTTTTACAACCTGGCAGGAGCTGCTGTCTAGGAAGAGCTGAGGGGCAGCAAAGAGCAGAAGCTTTAGAATCAGGTGACTAGATGGCACCAGGAGTGGAATCTTTTTTTTTTCTTTAGATAGGGTCTCACTATGTAGCACTAGCTGGTCTGGAACTCACCATGTAAACAGGTTGGCCTTGATCTCAGAGATCTGCCTGACCTTGCCTTCCAAGTGCTGGGATTAAAGGCATGTACCACCACACCCAGTCAGCAGAGGATCTTGAACTGCCTTTCTGTAAAATGGAGATTAAGCCTAACTGATTATAATTCATCTACAAATTTCTGACCAAAGATGAGCTCCTGTTCTGAAGCCACCCTCTGAACAATTCTACTGCTAGAATTTACCATGAGGAAACATTCACACAAGCTACAGAGATGGATGGTAACTATGTATACTTTCTACCAATTTCCACTCACTGCCATGGTTTATTTACTTGTAATTTCTTGTGGCACTGGTGATCAAACCTAGGACTTTGCACATGCCAGGCAAACACTACCACTGAGCTACATCCCCAGTCCTACTGCCAGTTGTAATAGTAAAAGCCATAGGGCTGCAGAGATGGCCCAGGGGTTAAGAGCACTTGTTGCTCTATCCTGAGGACAGGAGTTTGAATTCCAGCATCCATGTCAGGCAGCTCACAAATGCACAGAATTCCAGCTCCAGGAGATCTGATGCCTCTGGCCTCTGGCCTCCAACCATACCTGCACATTCTCCCACATATACACATAATTAAATTCTTTAAAGATAACAGTAAAATAATGACACAATCCTAAGTATCTAGCAAGAGTGGACAGAGGTCTGTTGACACACTACATAACCATAGGAAACAAGATAGTACTCCTTGCATTCAGGAGGCTGAGGCAGGAGTATCGGCAAGAATTGGAGGCCAGCCTGGGTGGGCTACATAGCAAGATCTCACCTCAGAAAATACAATAAAATGAAAAAAAAAAATTTTTTAAATACAATAAAATGAAAAAAAATTTTTTTTAAAGAAGATGGATCTTACTAATGATATTGCTAAGTAGAAAATGCAAGCCGTAGCATTTGGATTTTCACTCAAGCATCTTTTACCTCTACTCAGGATATTCTTGCATCAGTGAAGGTCTGGTCATTCCAAGCAACAATGAATAAGAACTTAGATTATTGCATTAGGGCTTTGTTTATCTTTTCAAAGTTCCACTCATCTTCTCTCACTTTACCACGTTTATTTGTTCATTTTTCTTCCCAAGATTAAGGATTTATTTCCCTAAGGTTTGGCAATAAAGGAAACCTATTTCCTTTAAGATGGTCTTTAAGTCACTCTCTGACAAGACGGCTTCTTCCCCTTGTTTAAAAACCTAATTCCCACCAAGTCCCAGCCCAAATGACACTTCACAGAATATTTTGAAATAGTATCAGAATATGGACTCTGCAAACAGGGTCTGAAAGATGCTTTGGATCAGGGACAGCATTCTTGGGTCCTCCCGTGTGCCAAGCACTGTACAAAGCACCCTACATGACTTGTTTGCTTAACTTCACAACCACCTATAGGCAGTACCAACAGCACCCTCATTTCTACGGAGTGGGTTGGGGACAGAGGTGGGTGAGGCACTAAGAGATCAAGGTAGACTCTGCTCCTGACTCCTTTGCCATTTGCCTCCCTAAATGCTGCCATCATTTCTTTGAATTGTGAAACCATATTTCAACACTGATGTGAACCCAGGGTATTAAAAATAATAAAAGCCAAGACATTTGGGAAAACATAGCTCTGTCCAATTGGTAATTTTTAGCTTTGGCACCAGGGGGATTCAAAATCTTCTAGAAGGATCTGATGCAGGAAGACACAGGACAAGAGAAGTGAGGATATTTTATAAACCCCAAACAAACAAAACTCACAAAATATTTTGTTCTTATATGAAGACCCTAGCCCCTAATGTTAAATATGCATTTCAAGGTGGGAATAAATAAGGGCAAGACCAGGAAACTAGAAAGGGGCCCATGAGACTGGAGAAAAGGGGCTCTAAGGGAGAGGGTGCAGAAGACAGTAGAACCAGGTAGAAGCGGGGGGTACGAGGAGTGAAAGGGTACAGTGGAGATGGGAGTGGGAGGAGAAAGGGTGGGAGGGCGGATCAATCAAAATTTAATATGTATGAAAATGCCAAGTAAAAATCTATTATTTTATAAGCTAATTAAAAAAAATATTTAAAAAAAACACTCCTAGCTGGGCGTGGTGTCACACACCTTTAATCCCAGGACTCGGGAGGCAGAGGCAGGCAGATCTTTGTGAGTTCCAGGATAACTGGGGCTACAGGGAGATCCTGTCTCAAAAAGACCAAAAAAAACTAACCCAAAAAACCCCCACACTCCTAAAACAGTAAAAATAAAAAATACAACACTAAGGTGGTAGGGATTCCAAAGACATCAAGACAAAGCATGTCAGCCACAGTTCCCTTGGGGAAAACTCCGTAAAACAGAAAGGTGTGGAAAAAGAGGGCAAGCCTTCCTCCATGCCCACTTCCACACTGACCCTCTCCGGTCTCCAGAGCCTGACACACAAGCACACACACCCCTCTTTAAACAATAGATCACAAGGAGCACAATGCCACAATGTAGTTTGCTTCTCCGGCCCGCAGCTGCCTGGCAAACAGGCTCACACTGGATGGCAGCTACAGTCAGCACTCTACCAAATGTCACCAATTATGTCTCAACACCAAGGTAGCAAAATTATTCCTTTTATTCTGGACTGCCACTAAAGCAAATAGCCATGTGCATGATTTGTGTTAATTTATACATGGTATGAGGATTAAGGCTGTGAAAGGCTTCTAGGGAAACTCCCACGATTTCTGAAGATCCTCAGGGCAGGGGCTGACTTCCTCGACTTCCCCACACTTCCTTGGTGGGCCTGAAGAGACACTGGCCAAACAAAGTAGCCTTTAGAGATAGATGATCTGGAAAGAAAAGCAAAAAAAAGTGTTTTTTTCCTAAACACTGGCCTATTTCCTCTTCCCTTCCACACTTCACCATTCCCAACTGCATCGCCAGAGCAGCTCACATGAACATCCATCCCTTCCCACACTGCTTCTAGGGGCTGCCCATAGATGGACTTGAACGCACACACACACACACACACACACACACACACACACACACACACACGATGGTTGTACAAACACCGTAAGACATGGCAGGAAGTAGGGACTGTATTTCCAAAAGCACATTTCCCTCTGCGAACAGTGTTTCCCTAGACTAATTCAAGCTTTCTTCTTACCCTCACTCAGACCAAAATGATTACATTTCGCCATCTGGACCTTTATTCTCTCAAGGCAGGAGATTTGGTTTTGTAGTGTGGTGTCGCTCTGGTCTCCCAGATTTTCTGTTCTACACTAGATTTGAAGCTCTAGTCATGTGTGGTCACTGTCCAAATCAGGATCTAGTTCTCCAAAACTTACACCTTCCTTTTTTCTTAGTTTAATTCCTCATTTTGATGGACTATATTACAAACAACTGTCTTGGAGGACAAGTGGGGGTGGCAAAACTTTTTCAGTCTGAAAATACCCTGACAGATCTGGCCAGGGGTAAACACCAGATAAAATGTATCTGCCCCTCATAAACTTGAAGGACATTCCTCTACTATCTGAAAGCTTCTTACTGCTGATAAGATTGTGTTCGGCTAACTTCTCACTCCTCAGCCCAGCACCCTGACTGCACCCAAGCAGCTCAACTTCTCACTCCTCCACAGGTGAGCCATTTTTGCCTTGCTTGGAGAAGAATGCTGAAGATTTTTCTGCTTGATATTTTTGAAATTTGAATTAGATGTGTCACTGATGAGCACCTGTTTGCTGTCTTGGGTGCTGAATGTGGGCTCATGCATGCTGAGCACTAACACTGTCACTTAGCTACACCCCCAAGTCCAACTTTTGCCTTCTGTCTGTTCGGGGTACAGACTTGGGGCTGCTTCTACCTCTACCAGGCCATCAAATTTGAACTCTAAGCATCCCAGGGCTCCAGTAGTGGGATGGAGCCCTAGCATCCCCTGCAGGCCTCCATGGTGACACCCCCTCACCCCTATGCAGTGCCAACATGCTTCTAGCCCTGCTCTTCTACTGAACATTGAAATAAAAATATTTCCCTCGCTGGTTATTGCCAATTTTCATTCCTGACTACTTCTCCTCACTGTGAAATCTGGAAAGAAATGTTTGAAATTACTAGAATGTGAGTATTTATAGATTCTGTTTGATCCCTAGAATTCATAACTAAGCTACATAATGAAAAACAAACTAACAACTTTGTCCAGGGCTGGCAAGATGACTCAGTGGATAAAGGTGCTAGCCACCAGGCCTGACAACCCGAGTTCAAGCCCTAGGACCCATACGGTGGAAGAAGAGAATTAATTACCCTGACCTCCACACACTAACCATGCCACACATGTACCCCACTCACCTACGAAATAAATTAATAAGTGTAATTTAAAAATCAAATCAAAACAAAACAAAAACAGAAAACCAACTTCCTGCTCAGCAACAGCTTACCTGTTTAAAATAGTCCATTCACCTGTTCAGTTTCAGGGTCCAAATCAATATCATAAAAACAGGGCCGAGTAGGGAGCCCAGGCATGGTGCTCATCTACAATGCAAAATAACATAAAAATGAACTGAAGGTAATTTTTTCCTTCTACCTTCCCCTTGTGCCTTGCACATCTTTAAAGTCGGCAATAAAGTGGATGCTGCTCTTCTTGATACATATTAAAAACCCAGTTACCGGTTCTAACATAACAAGAAACTCACCGCCTTCTGCAAACCAATTGTCAAGCCTCACTCTGCTCTTGAACATGGACAACGGTAGTCAGAAGTGACAGAAGCGTGGTCCCACCCCCACCCTGCATTGGCAGGTGCTGGAAAAGCTGAGCAGGCAGTTACTCCTGATTCAGTGTGGGCTTCACAAGACCAAAGGAATGTGAGGCATGCCTGTAATCCTACCCTTGGGAGGCCAAAGTAGGGCTGTTGAGACTCTTAGACCAGCCTGGGCTACAGAGCAAAACCATCTCTCAAAACAAATCAACCAAAGGAGGGACAGGGATGGCGTCTGTTTCAAAGTGCTCTCTCAGAAAGCCTTGCACAGAGGCCCACGTGATTTCTGCTGCAGCAACATGACATGACAATCCGCCTCCCTTAACTCATTTTTATAGTGAAGTTTTACGGTCTCTAGTCTTACTGATCTGACGGGCTCCTGACACTAAACTTGAATGCTTGTGTGTGCTATATATATACTTGCTTCTTTTCTGAAGAAGTGGCTTTGCCTCTTTTCTGCTTAGATGCAAATTCGTATGGCTTGTAAGGGAAGACTTTTTTTTTTTCTGTCATAATGTCCTGTATAATGAATGTACACACATTCCAGATCAGACCCAGAAAGGAAGACAGCTTAGCCTGAACCTTTAAAACTTCACTATAAAAATGTCATTAAAAGGATGAGTCATCTTCAGTAACATAAAACATCGATATCTGAAGAAAACCTAATCCTGACATCTGAGCTCCAATCAATATTCTTCACGGCAAACTATAGAAATCTGACAACTGGCCGGGCGTGGTGGCACGCTGTTAATCCTAGCACTCGGGAGGCAGAGGCAGACAGATCCTCTGTGAGTTCGAGGCCAGCTTGGTCTACAGAATGAGTTCCAGGCAGCTGGAGCTATAGGAAGACCCTGTCTCAAAAAGACCAAAAAAAAAAGAAATCCGACAACCGGTTTCTAGTCGTGCATTCTGTAAGAAATAGACAAGTAGAAGAAAGGAAAGGTTTTTCTTCAGATTTAGAAGAAAACCCAGGAGATGGCATTAGAGAGGCAAAGGATGGCTGCCCACTGACCCAGATATGCATGTAAGCACTGGTGGGTAGAAAAGTCTGAAGATGGTTCCCAAAGCAGCAATATGTAGAATTTTCAGTAATTTTATTTTTCCCAAAGAGGAAGATCTTCCCTCTGTAAATACTGGTTGTTGATAATCAGAAAAGAGAAAGAGGGGCTGGAGAGATGGCTTGGCAGTTAAGAGCACTTGCTGCTCTTCCAGAGGGCCTGACTGTGGTTTCTAGCATCCATATCATATGGTAATGTTTTTTAAAAAAAGGAAAGACGATGCCTGTATGAGTTTATGTGTATCATGTGTGTGCAGGAGCCTGCAGAAGCCAGAAGAGGGTGTTGGCGCTCCTAGAATAGGAAACACAGGTGGCAGTTAGCTGCCACATGGGTGCTGGGAAACCTAGGTCCTTTGCAAGAGTATTAAGCACTCTTATTACTGAGCCATCCTCCAGTCCATGCTTAAATCTGCATTAAAACCATTTTCTTTAAAAAACAAAAACAAAAACTTCAATTTTGCTTTTTAAAAAAAGTAAGCCAGTCAGACATGTTGGCATGTATCTGTAATCCCAATCCTTGAGAGGCCAAGACAGACAGATGGCAAGTTTGGGGCCTGCCTGGGCTATATAGTGAGACCTTGTGTCAAAAAAACAAAAGGAGAGAACAGTTAGAAAGACAGCTCAGCAGTTAAGAGTAAGTATTGCTCTTGCAGAAGACTTGAGTTTGGTTCCCAGCACCTGCTTAGGGAGGCTCACAGCAGCCTATAACTCAGATCTACAGGATATGACACACTCTCTGGCCTCTGAGGGCACTGCACTCACATGTATATATCCACACATATACATATGCATAAACATAATTAAAAATAAGAGTGTCATTTAACTATGTACCAGTTGCTTCTTTCTACCTAAAGCAAGGTTTTGGTAGACCACTCTCTAAACTACATAAGGTAAAAAAGACTTTTAACTGTCTTGTGTTTTCTATAAGGTTTACCTGGGAACTTATAAAGCACACTGTGTACACAGGTAATATTAACTTAATTGCATTATCTTATGTGTGTAATTTAGATTTCATGTTCTTTTAATAAGATGATTCTACACAGTACTGTCTTCTGAGTCAAACAACTACCACCTTCACGACTTCAACTGTTCCACTAGCAAAAGACCATCACAATTGGACTTGTTGACAATAGTATTCTTTAACTGAAGGAGGGGTAAGCAGGGTCATTGGACACTCACCTGAGTATCTAGCTGCTCTTCCCAGCCAACTATATGTAATTTGGCCCTAATGACATATGGTCTCCTGGGTTTGGGGAGGACTAAAGTATATTATCTGGGGAAGGCTAGGAAGAGAAGGCTTGCTCCATGCTGGGTAAAGGCTTTCCAGTGTAAATACTCTCAGGTCATCCATACACCTCAGGAACCCCTCAGTCATCTCTGTAAGTAAGCTCAGTAAACTCTTGGTTCCCCAGGAAAACTTTGATGTAATCAAACATTGGTTTGACACTAGAACCTTAGAAGGGGATAAACATTGCCTAGTATCCCCAGGAAAAGAATTCTCACAACATATGGAAATTTATTTGTTAATGTTATTATGTCTCATGGTTATTAAGAAAGAGAATGGTAAGGTAAAATGTTAGAAAGATATAGGAGTGGAGGTATTTTAAAAACGAGAGAGCCTAAGCAAGATGGAGGTCTGTGTAGGTTTGCTATGATTTATCAAGGATGAGAGAAAGATAATATATGAATAATCTTAAATTTTCTAAGGTCATAGCTTAGTCAACTAGTTTAAGGATGTCTAGTCAAGGTTTATCTGAGAGTGTTTGGTATTTTCCCAAGCTTTATTTATATACCACATGGTAATTAAAAGTACCAGACTAGTGTAACTAACCTTGTTAGGTGTTTAATAGACATACTTTGAGGCCTATACTAATCTGGTCAGAGGGACTTAAAGAACAGTTTTTGCTCCTTGCCCTCCAAGCTCAAGTAAGTTCCAGGGGACTATGAGGCATCTCAAAATGTCCTGTAACTGTGGTGAGTCACCCGTCCTCTTGTTCAGGGAGGCCATGGAGATACCACAAGGTGGACTTGAACCAGTGCCCAGTCTACAAAGAGGAGGGTCAACACAGAGGAACATTTCTTCCATGCTTCCAGGTGAAGCCAGCCATGGACGAGCAGAACCCTTGACTTCTCTTCACATAAATGGTAAAAGAAAGGAGCCAGGGGCTCTTCCCAAGCCCATGTGACCCCTGAGGAACAAATCCTCCAATGACCTTAAGAGTAAAAATAAATTGGTTTATTTGGGCCAACAGTATGTTTTAAAACACCCAAAAGGAC